TATTAAAAATAAGATAATATAAAAAAAGATAATATAAAAAATATTAATACCTATAAAAACTCTTACCGTCATAGATTTTGAACACAAATTTATGATAACCATCATAATGTATTTCATAGAACTATTAACTAAGGTAGCATTATATTCTGGATCATAGCGACGGATGCTGGCCTGTAAGTTTTTAGCTGTTTCGCCATCCAAATGAATTCCATATTTTCGCAATGTATCACAAACTGTATTAAGAGAATATTTGGACGGATCTCTATGAATACGTAATAAAGCTGTTTCAGGAATTGCAGTATACAATTTTACAGCAACTGTTATGTTTGCTAGCAGCATAAATTCTTCTATAAGACTGAAATAATATATACATTCAAATAATTAAACTGATAATTAAAAACTGAGATATTTTCTTTCTACATATATAATGCAATGTAAACATAATTTAATAAAAATATATAAATGAGTGGAAACTGCACCTGTTACTATCTTTCTTTTCCTCTAGACGATAATTTACAGGCATTGGGATTTTGTGTTCTTGACTGAGCATGGTATCCATACATATCTGTAACTTTGGTTGATCTAACCTGAGTGCACCATTATCAAATCGTTTATTTCGCAATTGATTGGATAATTTAAATAAATTATTCACTATATTGGACAATGACGACATTGTGTAATTTCCTTTTGTATCGAGAAAATCTTTGAACTGACTCTTTCCTGGATTTTCAATCATGGCTTGAGCCATGTCATAGGACATTTGACAACATGACCTTATTACAGTTTTTGCAAAACGATGTTTCACAATTTCAGCATCTGATGTCATTTCCCAGATTATGGAAAAAGCTAATTTATCTTCACCAGCTGATAAGGAACAGATTTGACAGAGCTTTTCAGGTAACATGTGGTATGTGGTATGTGGCAAATAAATGCTAGTAGCTCGTTTAGAAACTTCCATATCTAGCGGGGAAAAAAATTTTAAATAGTGTGTAACATCCGATATATGCACTCCAACCTGAAATTAATAAAACATATATATAAATATCTATACCTAGAGACACATAGTAAGCTTATCGATTAATGCCTTCTATATGTTATGTAAATCTAACAAATACAATTACTTCATAGTTTCCATTGTCCAAGACTTTACAAGAAATGGCATCATCCATATCAATAGCTGTTGCAGGATCTATCGTGAAAATACATTCATGCCTCCAATCTTCCCTATCCTTTATATCAGCATCTGTTAAAATATAATCACTACCTGGCAGTTCTTCCAATAACTCTTTTCGATATGGTGATACATCTAAATTATGTCCAAGTATTAATGCCTGTAATTCTGTTTCTATTTCGCCAGTTTCACCGACTACCGAAAGAATTCGTCTGCATATAAATAAAGTATATACTACACAAATATATTATATACAAAAGATCCTTCAAATTTGCTTAATGCAGACCTACCCAGATGCATATAACTGTTCCCAGGAATCGATATTAACAAGAAACATCATATTCTTGTAAAGCTCAGGTTGGCTATGATATAAAGATGGTATCGATTCAAGAACTACCAATGGTATTCTTTGATCTTTTGGATGAAACAGTACAAGGGAATCTTTTTTTCTCAAGTATCCAATTGCTCTTCTTGAATGTACTTTCTCTAATATACAAACAACTTTACCAGTTTTTTGTATTTGCCCATTGGGAAATTTATACCAATATTTTTCAAGATTTACATGCGCTACAACTAAATCTCCATTAAAAGCACGATTTCTGTTATGGGTACCAATAATTAACAAATCGCGCTCTTCATCATTTTCCATACGTAAGTAAGCATATTTACAAGAAGTAGGATTCACACGAAGATTTCCTTTTACATATTGTACATTGTTAAAAGTTTGCTTTTTCAAAATTTTCTTCATTTTTGATAAAGATATATAATCTGAAAATATTTGCTTTGTTTTCAATGTTTTCTGTGGATTTTTTTCTTTTTGTACTGTCTTGCTTTTTATAATTTCCTTGCTCTTATAATAATGTTCCTTTGATATATTATCCGTACTTGATTCATTTATTATTGTCGTTACTTGTGTTTTTGTTTCATTTTTCTTCCAACATTTCCTTGTCAATTTATCATGCATGATGGCCTAGCAGAAAAATATATAATTGTTCTTGTATAAAATTGGAGTTTTATGAAAGTTATTATAGAATATATAGCAAAAAGAAAAAGAGAAGAATACTAAACTGTGTTATATGTATTATATAAGATAGTTATATAAGCAAGATTAATATATACAACATATGTGTGTCAAAAATGAAAAAAATTATAAAAAATATTTTCTGTATACATATCCAACCTGATCTGTAACTAAACTATTAGTTTTCCATTCGTCGTTAGTAGATATCAAAATACCATCTTCTTTTCTTTTTGTTTTCATAAATATATTTTTACACTGCACAGTACTAAGATGATTTATAGCTTTTGATGTAGGATTCAAAGAGACTTGCGACATATTTCCATGCTGTGTCAAATCTTTCATATTATCTTGTACAGCTTCCGAAAAATTGGATGCAGCTTGTGCCTCATTTTCATCTGCTGAAATCTTATTGTACTTTGTACCTT